CTCTTCCAAAGGCTGTGGCTGGTTTCCATAGCAACCATTTTGAGTAAAACTCTAGAAATTTAATTTCTCTTCTTGAGTGCAATAGAACACAATTGCTCTTTCTTCACCATATTTAAAAGAACTTTTTGGTCCATATTGAGGGTACCATACCACCTTAAGTCTGTATATGAACTAAGTGGCTCATCAGGCTGGTGCTTATCTCCGATTTCGGTAGCATGAAGTGGCTTGGAGTATTTCTACTCCCCCGTGGATGGGATGCTAGTCCATTGTAGAGTTACCCCCAGCATTAAATTCGCCGGTAATCTCTAGCCGGTACCCATTTGTACACCTGGGTGGAATGAGGCACTGTGAGAGAAAAGTGTCTTCTTGTCCAAGAACACAACCGTCAACACAGTGTCCCCGGGTAGGACTCGAACCCGTACCGCTCGATTCGGAAGCGAACGCACATTTCTTTGCCAATTCAATATACTGGTTTTTCTCTTTCTCCGTTTTCTTTATAGCAATAATTAACAATTAGATTATAAGCTCGAGATTTCTATGAGGTGATAGTTGATGAGGCCGAAAACTGTCATTTAAAATTGAAGTTGTGTGCGCGCGCGCATCAGTTTTTTCAATAATTTCAACTTTTTTAAAAGTCAAGAAACCGTAAATGTCCTTCGTTTACACTTCTTAGGAATGTAATTATCCATTTGCATCAAAATTTTCCTCCAAAACTTCGGAAAAACGAAACAAACCTCGCAATTTCCTAGACGACCTCCAGCCACTGCACACTAATGGTTGATAGTGTTCGATGGCTCAGCCAATCAGATTACAGCATTTGCATTAGTGTACCAGTAGAATTCTGAATTCTGAATTAGATCAGTAAATTACGTTCAAAAACTCACGCCGTACGCCACCTATATTGGCTCTCGACCTCATCTGACCCGAATAATCTCGACTCTGATCCGATACGGTTGATTGAATCTTGCATAACATTCCACAGTTTACCAAACAAACGTGGCCGAAAGGTGTAGCTTTGAAGAGTTAACTTTTGCATCAACTGCAAGCGACACACCAGTCCACGACAATGGTCGATTCAACCGCCGCTATCGCCGTCTGCAGTGTCGGGTTTGGACTGTTTGTAATTGGCTGGATCGGAAGTATGTGTTACTTCAGGACGCCGTGCAAAGACATCGAAAAAGAAACCCAACATGTCGAAGAGGGGAACCTCGATTAGACATATGAGAAGATCTTGAGATCAGTGTTGTTATTTAGTGAGGTGGGTTTTTAAATGGGAGTTTAATTAAGTGCGTTTTCCATAAAGTAGCGTGGGAACTGAACTAAATTGCATCCTGGTTGAGTAGTTTATTTGCGATAGATGACAAGACTAACGAATGTTGACATTCTATTTGACTTTGCATGTAGTGACTGGTTTGAAGTTTTTCGCTCCATGTCATAATATCGTTATTTTATTTTCTGATTCTCGCATACGTGCTCCTCTCTAACCTTTATTCTAAAACTTCGAACTACTGAAACAGCTGAAGGGGAGTTAAATTGGCATGGTTAACACATTATGTGTTAAAGCTCTCGCTGTGCCTTATGCATCTTCTCCCACTACGATAGTCGCGAATTTCCTCCAGGAAAACAACTGTAGTTTCTGCCAGATTTTTCGTAGCTTTCGATGTCTCTAAACGTACAAGATGATATCAGCTAATTGTTTTCATCTCCTGGTTTTGACTTAAAAGCAAGCTACGAATTCATAATTAAAATTAACAAGTTAATCGAGGCGTGGAAAGATTGTGAATAGAAATGGACAGTGACGCGGAAAGCGAAAAAGACGCGGAGGGTCATCGAAAGTGAATTATTCCTTGTCTCCTCTGATCATGCGCGTCTAGTTTCACGTCTACTTAAAAACTGTCAAGTAGTCTCAAGTCACGCTCTGACTTCTTATGTCGTTACGTGGGACGTTAAGGATTGCAGTGCGATTCGCTCGACTTGATTTCGCCAAATTGACTAAATATTGGTTCATTGTTAGGTGACAGTCACGACATCGAACTGTTTAACGCCTATGGCGCGCAATGGATCAGTTCAAAAAGAGACAATGCGCCTCGTCCAACCACGTCGAGGTCAAAAATTTCTGGAAACTCGGTGTTATGTTAAAAAAAAAAAACATTTTAAAATTTTGTCATCGCAAATATTGTCTCCATAATTAAATATCGATATGCAACCTGAATTTTCAAATATTTATTTATATTTTATTTAATTTGTAATTTACCTCTGACGTAAATAGACTCAATCGAAATTCATTCTACTTCGAACTGAAGAACTAAAGTGATAAGAACTAAAGAGTAATAAAGAGTAATAACTAAAGAGTAATGAAGAGTGATATACCTTATTTCATGCTCTCTTGTGGTAAGCACATAGAGCTGAAGTTGAAAAAAAGAACTCTAATAACAATAGTTTATAGAACTCATTGAAATACACCAGGAGTCCGTTCTCCTGAGTCATGGGCTCTTTATTACGCCAAGGATAACTTGAAGAAATAAGGTGCATGAAGGGGGAGTACAAGTCAGTTCAAACTGCAGGCATTCACTTCTTTCCATCAAACATGATCCTAATTACATGAAAACGTGAAAAATCTGAAGAAAAATGTCGCAGGACAAAACTGTGGCGAAAAACTGGCAGGTCCCAGCAGACGGTGTTAATTTACAGAAGCACGCAACTATAAATGCAAGTCAAACTTTTGAACACAAAGCCAAAGTACTGTAGATGGAAACACAGATAAATCGTGTGAGGAAATTCTTTCACCACCAATAATGACGTTTACCGGTGGAAGTCGAAGGCTTGGTCTGGTGATGGATTTCGCATTTAACCGCTGAGAACGTTTCCTGTAAACCCTAACCTCTTCCAGGCGTTCAGTTAGTTGAGGCGTAGCGCGAAAAATGGCGCACGAAAAATAGGGGAGAAGTGTGGTGCGGGAAGGCCTCTCTCTCTCTCTTTTTTGCTTGCCGTTTTTTCGCGCTTCGCCCTAACTAACTGAACGCCTGTAAGAGGCTAGTAGACTCGAGAGTGACAGCGTCTGACGACCTCCCTAACCTTCATTGTCCACTCCAGAGCCTTTGGTGTCTTGACTACGCAAGACAGTCATGTGTGAAACGGAAGAGCTCCAGAGTCGAGAGTTGTTTATCATTTGGCATTTTTAAGCTCCTCGATCATTGAAAGTGTAATTATCTGTACTAAACTCTTGGAGTGCGATATAAAGATTACCTGATATAATATCTTGGACAATGCAGGAAAGACAAATTCTTTCATTTGTTCGCCTTCAAAAAATGTTTACATGTCAATACAATTATGTTAATTAGCGGTATTGTCAACTTCAAGCCTCAGTGGTTTGAACAACACTGAAATTCAACGAGATCGCAAACTCATACAAAATGCATAAACTAGCAGTCTTTTCACTCGTGTTCCGATGCATTCATTTGGCTGGTGTCTGGTAAGAGAAGAGAAGAGAAAGCAACAGTAAGATGGCAGTAGACAAAACGACAGCTATAGTGGTATCGGCCATTCTTTTCGCTGCTCTGGTCTTAATCTGGATTTTATCGCTAGTATTCTGCATATGTCGTTCGCCGAGTAGCGACTCAATTGGTCGTCCTGATCGGCGCTTTACTCCCGAGGAAGAACGCATGATACGGCAAAATTCCGAACGCAGAGCCAAGCAGTACAGAGACGGCTCCATGGCTGTGTAATTTTAACGAAATTCGCTGGAAAAACCAACCGTTAGTCGTTAGTAAGTATCTGTTAATCTTGTTAATCGATTTCTTAAGTACTTCTCGAACTAAATATTCAAGTTGCGAACAAACATCTAATATCAACTGCGGCTGGAGTTTGGTGTTGAGTTATATGTGACTTAACATGGATTAGTAGGATTTTATAGTTTTGGATCAATCCCAGAATTCGACCACCAACAAGACTGTCGGTCTCCGCTCAGTTTGACCTTCGTTACGCTTTTGAAGTTTGCTGTCAGAGAGTTCGTGATTTCCTGCTGTTTTGTAATTGTTCAAATGTTCCTCGTTGAGAGTCCAAACTGTAGTAGTAAGCCTCTTTGATGAGCGAACTTTGCTCGATTCTTTGTGTCAGTCCACAGCGATTGGCTAATGTGGTTTTTTGAAAGAACAGCAAATTTACACACACGACCCCAATGAGTACTAAAATGCCATCATTGAAAAAAGAAGGAATGACGAATTGTAAAACACCGGATACTCGCCGAGACAGGTCCCAAGGCCCTCGATGTTCTGGACTACAAGCAGTCCCTCTTTCGCTTAGTCCGTCGTGCGTGACGCGAAATAAAACTGCGAGAAAAAAATGGCCGCGCGAAATCCTGGGGGCGAGTAGCGCGCGCTCCTCGCCACCAGGATTTCGCGCGGTTATTTTTTTCTCGCAGTTTTCTTTCGCGTCACGCACGACGGACTAAGCGAAAGAGGGACTACTCGTAGTCTATCGATGTTCCAGTTAACTTTTTCCACCCCTAGTTCTATCTCTCCACAATTTTGCGCTTTTAGTCAATGCATACAAACACTACAGGCCATCGAATTGGCTAGGTTGTATTCTTCTAATGGCTGGATGAAATTTTATTTTTACAGGAATTAACCTGACTGTCATGAAAAATAATATCAGCCTGAATAGATTGGGAATAAGTCCAAATTAAAATTTTTGTGGAATTGATTGACTAAACAAATGTATAAAATTCTTTCACATCATATTAATATAGCAACTCGTTATTCAATTATCCAGGTTCTTGCAGACAGATACTTCAAAACTCGGTTAGTCGTTTAGAGGTGCCGACGTTTTTCCTCAGTCTGTTTTATGTTATCCAACTTGATGATTCTAATCAGCTAGAGTTTCAGGCTTGATCTTTTGATGTTGGGGCTAGGCCGGGTTGAGGTTACAACGTCCAATGCCTACCCCTTCTCCGCGATCCACGAGCACTTATTGCGGGTCTTGTTTCAAGGCGTTCTGCTGTTTAGTTCTAAGTTTCGCCAGCATGGGCTTGCAAAGACAAACAGTCAAACAAACAAAACAAACAAACAGACAAATTGGCAAACGACCCAAACCGAGTCCTCCATAGCAGCTTTTGATGGTACTTCCTTCTGTTACTGCGCACACTATCTGCGCATCACGGATTTTCCTACTATGTTTCCTTCATTTAAAACACATAGATCTACTGTTACTCCCTCATTTACTCTTGGCAGCAAGTTTCCAGCAATGTAAACTTTATGGTCTATAACCTAAACTGAACAGACTACGTCGAGATGCTAGTCCATCGCAGGGTTAGCTCCAGCATTATGTTCGCCGGTACTCATTTATACACCTGGGTGGAGAGAGGCACTGTGAGAGTAAGTGTCTTGCCCTAGAAGGCAACACAATGTTCCCCGCCAGGGCTCGAACTTGGACCGCTCGGCCGGAGTCGGGCGCACTAACCATATGGCCACCGGATGGCCATCGCGCCTCCCACAATAACCACATTACATTTACAATAATCACAAATATACGCGATCAAAAGCACATTAAGCACAATACAATTAGTTTAAGTTTGGTACTACGGGCAGGATAGTTTAGTAAGTACCAAATTTGGTCCTTACGGTGTGACTAATTTTATTTAGAAAAGGCTTAACTTACTAAAGATTTGACTAGAGCTAGACTAACAAAAGAATATGAGATTTATTTATCATTATGATGATAATATAAATAAGGACTTTGCAGTTTTGGGACATGGTGTCCAGTTATTTATTAACATATCTGTTTGCTCGTTTTTCAGTTTGAGAGAAGTTTTAACCTGTACCTGAAGCTAAAGACTGAGGACTCAGGATTAGCACTAGACAATTGTATTTTATATCTGAATGAAGTATCCACGACGAGCAGTTCAAGAAACAGCAGCATTTACAAGTAGTCGACACTATAAATTTTTTTTACAATGACTCTTCACTGGACATGAACGACGCGTCCCACTCTAACCGATAGAGGCTGGGTACTTCTACATTTGTAAATATCTGGGTAACTTTACGAACCATTCGTGACATTTTGATATGTACTTGTTTTAGTTAGGCTTTGGTAAATAATAAAAAATTGACACTTCAGTGCAGCTTACACAATGCATACTGCGTAGCTCCTTCAATTACAAATCCGGGTAGTTTTGCACAAGAGTCATTGGTTTACACTAAATCCAGATCCGATACTGTCCTGTTACTTTGCGCTTCTGTGGGACTAAGCAATATTTACTTTTGTCAGGATTTCCCGCCCTAAATAAGACCGCGTGGAAGAAGTAAAATCGCAACAAAATATACATGCGAGAGAATGTGATAACTAGCCATATCAAGTCAGTCATGGTTTGGGCGTATAAAGCATATATGCGATCTTTATTTCCCAATCCCAGTTATAAATTCAACTTGGTTCGGCTACATCAAGTTTTATCGAAGTCGAAGATTTCGTTTTTTAGCGTTGTCACAACTACTTCTGACTGAACGCCATACGAAAAAAATATCTCCAACGCATGGAGTGTGGGAGATGTTGAATTGACGAATTGATTCCATGTTGCCGTGCATCTGTTCAGTAATTGATCACAGATGACGTCGAAATAAAAAAAAAGTGGCACACGAGGTCCACGAGGCGATAGCCGAGTGTGTCACTGATGTTCTTACCACATTTGACCTTTTCTGTACAGACGCACGACAACATGGGATCTATTCGTCTTATATATGAAAGAAACAAACAAAGAAAATTGAATGACGTCGAAAGAACCAATCAAGAGTAATTTGATAGAGAGTAATTTGAAAACTAAACAAAATGCGAGAATAATTTGACTTAAATATTCAATGTTTATACGAGAGAAATATTTGGTGATCCAAGGGCTAGCTCCGTATCAGGACTCTTCTTCGATCACAATGTTAGCCTGCGTAGCAAGCGTTTCCGTGGGGTTTAGAAGCAAAGAAAGACCGAGGAACGGAATTTTCGGTGATTTGCCCGCGCGAAACATGGGGCGAGAGCCAAAAAACGAAAGAGAGGGGTGGGGGAGGTGTTCTCGCCCCATTTTTCGCGCGGGCAAAACACCGAAAATCCCGTTCCTCGGTCTTTCTTTGCTTCCAAACACCACGGAAACGCTTGCTACGCAGGCTATCACAATGTTTGAAGAGTAAACATAACCACACTGTTTCTAGAAAAATCTTAATAACAGTCACCAATTATGTCTTTGGCCAGTTGACGACATTACACAAGCCACGTTTGTTTCAAGTTCAGTACGTGCTTCTACGCACCTTCTAGCAAAACGTGGTTGTCGCGGAAGTTAGCGTACCTAGAAAGACTTAATGTACTTTGACTTCCGAGAGGCTTATTACGTCTGAAGTTTAAACTCTCTCATAATGGGAAATAACTCGGTCTATCCGACTTTCTTAGTATACATCAGCTTAAAGTTTTTATTCGACTCTCATATTCTTCTTTTTTATTACCATAAAATCGTAATATCAGATTATAAAGTTGTTGTTATATAGCGTGCCCTCTGATTGGACGGTTAGAAGTTTTGCATGAAGCCAGGTTAATCCAGTTATGGCATCACATATCCTCAAAAATAGAACGTTGTAGAGCTTTCTGTTTACATAGCTCAGCATGAACACTTGAGAGTGTTTGGGAAAAGTCTACCTTCTTTGTGTATGGAACCTCGTCCTCGGCTTGGTCTTAAATTACGGTCTGAGATCATTGAAATCAGGTCTTGCCTTATTACAAGCCATGTACTCAGAGGGGCGAAATGACAGGCTCAGCAGCGAGGGAACTGGGAGTATAGAAGGGTTTTTTTTGTGGGAAAACTGCTAAGACTAGAAATGAAAGATCACTGAACTAATATTAAAGTAATTAGAAGTAAAATAAATAGATAATTGAGAGCAAAACTATTGCAAAAGACTTTAATACTGAGTTGGGTTGACAGCCTATGGAAATATAAAGGGTTATATAACTTTTGCCATGTTCAGAAGCTATGTTGACGCGAACAACACGACACCATCATTATTCTTTCTCTGTCAAGTGTTCCAGTGTGCGTGTTTACATCGTGTTTCTAAGCAACGTTTCTGAGGTGCTCAAAAGATGGGTTTTTGCGGCAAGGTATAGATTTCCTTGTTTTTATTTTACCAACTCCGGTATTACACACCAAGCTACACCACTTGATAAGTGTTTTGCCGGCAGAGCTTACTTCCGCTTCAGCTACTTCACCATTTCCTTTCCAAGGAGTGTGGACGTGTCTGACTGAAGAGGATGACCGATTTCAATGTTCCTTCACATTTAGGGTGCGGTTATCGTGCTAATATGCATTTGTTTCGTATGTAAACAAAGTGAGTACAAAATGAAACTGTTTTCCGCATAGAAACTGAATGCTACATTTTAAATTTTGATATTGAGAAGAAAAAATGTCAAGTTTTTGTTCCACCACATTCCCTCTTTACCAAGTATGCGTTCTTCGTCTGAAGAACACATATTTCAGTTCCATCATTGATATTGCCGTTGTTTATCGTTCAACACTGTTCAAGTCAGCTAGGTGAACGCAACCCTGTTCTGATCATTTGTACGCATGCTGAGGTGCTATGCGAGTGCTTCTGTTTTCTACCGGAAACCACAGCTGTTTTAGTTTGTTTGGATTGGTTTCCTAACATTCGGCTAATGTCAAAGTCAGGGAGACTGGGCTCTTAGGGATTCAATTCTGTTAAAGGTGCCAAAATATGCCTCTAGAGTGAACAGTCTTTGGAACAATAGGCAACTCATACACATTTTAAAAAACGATGGACTAAATCTTGTGACTGCTCTATTATAACCATCAGATGTCTGCCTCAAAATCGTTCGCGTAATATTAGCAAAAACCATTCATCAAAACGTTGTCAGTTTGTCTCGCAAGTGCAATTGTTCTCATGTATAACTTTATAAAAAAAAAAAGGCATTGTCTATATTGATCTGTATTGCAGGTGTTTTCGTGTTGAACACAGGGTTAAAAAATATTGGAAAATACTAAAAAAAAATCTGAAAATACTCATAAAAATAAAATATGTCACTGGATCGTAATTGTAGCAGCAGGTGCCCCAAGGGTTGATAGAGGGTGGAAACATTCCATTGAATTAAAAATAACAAAAACCGTAGAAAAAATTCAACGCATTTTGGGGGCATCGCAGTTGTATCGACGAGCTCATTGTGTATTCAAGTTTCGTTACAATCCTAGCACCAGAATGCTTCTGTCACAATATCAATCCCAGTGATTTGATATTGAGGTTTCTCTTTGAGTGACGCACGTCATATGGGTTGCTCGATATGATTCACTGAGATAAGGGTTGACCTCTCATCATCTCGTTCAATTACATCTAATGTTACACGACTGAAAATAACAATCGTTAGCTTGACGGCTGCCTTGAAGAGACGCTTGTTTGCAAAAATCAAAACAGCGAGGAACTGAAACTGGTTTGTAAACACGCGGCGGGACACAGTTCGCAGGAAAAGATAGTGATTCATGGATGTTTGAATGCACGCTTTTGGTCACCCTTTTGTGGGGCTGATGAACTAAGGTAAGTCGAGAAGACAAAAGTAAAAAACAATTATCAATCAACTGACATTAGAGGTTACCTGAAGGAAGTGCTTTCGAAGACAGCTTTTTCTCGTGAAAAATATTGATAGAAGTGTGTTTGTGGTGGATGCATAAGGAGTGGTTGCAATTGGTGGAGTTTTTTTTTTGGTAAATATAGACTCGGTGTCTACTCAAACACCTTCGCAAATCTTAACGAAGGACGAAATGCGTTGTCTGAGCGTTTGGCATATCACAAAAGACGAGAATACAACGCCGCGTTTGAAACCGTCGCTAGCTGTTTCCACTTTTCACGTTGTGGTTTTTAAACCTACAGGTATGCTTTTTCAACGTGAAAGAACTTAAGGATTACTAGTTTAATCGGTTTAGCAGTATTTAATTTAGGGTCTCTTTCTTACTACGTCACTAGAACTTTTTTTTAAAGTAATAATGCTGTATTAAATGTTGTAATATAAACCATTAGGTCCGGTGACAACCACATGAAAGCCCTAGGATGTAGCAAATGTATACATAGCTCGCCCGTAATTACCATTTACGGGTTATGGGAAGTTTAACCTATGAAAACCTTTGACAAATTGACCGGCTGAAACGAAATTCGTGATGGAGCCGTGATTTGGCAGTCGTTCCATGTAAATAAGCGGTAATGGCACACTGGGTTATCGAGTTATCAGACTGGCCTGATAAAGTTAGATATGTATATTATAACTTGTTGCCTTAAAACTGATATTCTTGTTGTAGGTGAAGGTAATTTACAGTTCTGAGTGAATGGAAACCTTTTAGTGTCACACAGCGAGCTAAATATCGATTGTGTTCTGTTTATGAAGGAAAAAGCTAAAGATACCTGCAAACAAAGGACTATTGATGATTTTAGCGATAACCTTGTCGAAGGAATTAACCGCAGATACCCGAGTGGGCATACGAATTTTACCAAAAAACAACATTAAACTTATTAGCAAACCTGTCAAAACCGAATTTTGTCGTTTAGCACTTGACCGAAAACGTGCATTATCCCAGCAAATGTTTAACAAAGTATTTTTAAACTTAATCATTTCCTTTTGTATTGTAAGACGCCCAATTTAAGATTTATGCCAAAAAATCGCGTGATAGACTGAAGTTAATGAGATTCTAATTAAATTCTTTTTTTTTGCAGGTCATCCAAACTGTGATTGTTCGTTCGGTGAATAGAAAGCCTAACAACTCGTCACGAGCTCTGAAATTTTCCTAAAATGACGGAATTTTTCAGCTGTAACGACAACACAGGGCGATATATCTTCAACATTGTGTTCTTCTCTCTTATTGGCTCTTTGGTCTTCCTACTGATCTTTCTGGCTGCGTATTTACTGTACAAACGATACAAGAAAGCCAAAAAACGGCAAAGATTACTGTACCGAAGCCGAACGAGTACGGCCAACACAACAAGCACTATTTTATCCGGCACTGGAGTCGGTAGCCAACTTGCAAGTAATTTTATTTTGGGACGGCCACCTGCAACTGATGTAGTTTTAGGTGTTTACGGGGACGAAAACTCCAAAAATGCCAGAAGTGCGTTTTACGAAGAGAAAGGTTGGAGAGGGTTTGCGTACTAAAAGGAGATCTCAGTGAAGAAGTCATGCGGCAAGACACACCAGGAGAGAATCAAACGTAACAATTCATTTGAATTTCATGGCCTCGCCGATAAATCGTTGACAAACTTATTCTAAATTATCGGCCGATGAGCCCATTATGGCGGTAGAACAATGCTCGTGAGAAACTTTTAACCGACAGCGTAACTTGAAGTGCTTCCCCGCCAAACTGAGCCACTCAACAATGTCTCGAGAGATATTCAAGAGAACAGAAAGGGATTTGAGGGTTAATGAATAATAGCTAAGAAGGCACTTTTTTTGTATCATAGTGCTTATATCGTTTATAACAGATAAAAATAGCCGTCAGGTTATAATATTCATAAGAACATAATTTTGTTCAAGAAAATATGTTTCCCCATTTTAGGAAAAGGCAATCTCTAAGACACATGTCAGAAATAACCAGATTGTAGATAATTTCATTTCAGTGAAATGAAGTTATCGAATATTTGTGGATTAAAACGTTTTCGTTTCCAGCCGGATAGTGGGATCACAAGAGAGTCACACGAAACCTCAGCACGAGCAACATAAAATACTGGTCCAAATATTTTCAGGAGCTGGTATGTTAAGTAGCTTAGTGTAGTACATGGTCGAGCGCCTTTCCAGCATTATCAAGACAGATAACCAGCGTTTGGAAGGTTATCCTAGGTCATCTAACTTTGTTGAATTTAATTGGCATTATTTTACAAATGTAATTTTAGCAACTGGTACCTTACTCCTGTTTCTCATTCCTTTAACTCAGCTTTCATGATTTACTCCTTCAGTATGGTCGCTCTTTGAAAAGAAGGAATTCGAAACGGGGAGAGCGATGTAATTATATTGAGTATCATCGCCTTAGTAAGTCAGTGAAGATGTTTTGCAGTTCAAACAGCAGTAAAAAAGCTCATCAGTTGTTGGGTCTGTTACGACAGTTTTCAGTCTAGGTGTCTATGTGTATGTAGTGTGTTTGTTATCAAGTTGTGAATTGAAAGACTACTTAAAAACCTCCTTCGATCTGCTTACTGGCACTCGTCTGGCGAGCATATGTTGCTTGCTATAAGCAGTCTGGACCGCTCCTTACTGAAGAGAGCCGGGAAACAAAGCGAGAAACGTTGAGCGAAAAAAAACGAAAAAACTCGAAAGAGGTCGAGTTCGTTTAAGGTATCCGCGTCGACAGTTAACTTGATAAAGTCGTGAAACTTCGAGAAACTGGTGTAACTCAAGGCCGATAAGGCTGAATTTGATTGTAACCAAGGCTGTCTACTCGAGTGCAACTTAAGGTTAAGTAAATTCACTTTATTATAACAAGTTAGGATAATCAGCAGATGTGATAACTACTCTGACCGATAGCAAGTGTTGTACAGATACAGTACAGATAATGCATGAACACGGTTATATTTTGTAAGTTTGTTTAATTAAAAGTGGCGTCTTATTTTTTAAACCGTTTTTCGTGATACCCAAAAGGTGGAGAGAAATACAGAAAATAACTTAGGAAGTTGAATTCCGTATTTAAAAAAAAAAGAAGAAAAAAAAAGAAAAAAAACTTCAAAGTTTACATTTCAAACAAAGAGTATAAACCATCTAGAATCCGGCATTTAATAGTTCAAGTTGGTGCCCCTACCAAGATCTAATCGAAAAACTTTGCAGTCCCGCCCGTAATACTGATCAAACTAATGATATGTCATTAAAATGATTATTGGTTATTCTACGATATTTCTCCCTGGCAATAAATTAACGACCCCCATTAATGGCTCCTATTCCCTCGAGTCCCTCAATATTGCGATAAGTTTAACATGTTTGAGATCACTGTTATGTTCAATTTGGTGAGCTGCTGTTAGTATTAAGTCAAGCTGAGTTCCTGAAAATGTTCCTCGTTTCTGTAAAGTTCCCAATAATCTTTTTGGATATTCGGATTGGTGTGGTAAAAAGCTGGATTTTCTCTAGCCTCCGAGCTATTACTTTTCTTCCCGCGAAGAACCTGTTTGCAGGCTGCAGTTTTTTTTAGATCATCTGGAATAATAGTTGTGATTCGGGGAAAATATGACGCCTGTCCATTTTGGAGAGATCGAAATGTCAATTGAATACGGATAAAGGCAAGCTATTTATTATTATTTTTTTTATTTTTTTTTGAAATTGATTTACAAACACAATATACATAGGAAAAAACTAAACAAATAAAAAGGCCAGCTATGATGTTCGGAAAGTTTGAAAGTTTGATTTGAAACAAAATGAAACAGGGGACCGCACAAAGGGAGGGGCTGAAAAGTTGCTGCGCAGGTCCTGTAAACTGTGCTACTTTACAAAGTTAGCCCTGTATTGGAGGGTGGGGAATTTTGAGGGACATTGTGCGGGGGCTTACACAACCTACAGACCCAGGATACTCCGCGCAAATACGATGCAAGAAACGCCTGGTTGATATCTTCTTGGCTCTCGGAGAAGCAAATATCACTCACTGTGTTTGGAATCTGTGTGGAATTTATGGATGTTCAATTCTATCATGAAGCGCAAAAGCCATAAAAATAGTCCTCAAAATTTCGTTCTTCCTCGATGGGCGCCGGAGCATCTCATCGTACAAAAGCCAAGGAAGACAACTTTCACAAGACCGCTTCAAACAAGATTGCTTCAAACCCTCGTGATATAAACAACTTATCAGCTGCAGAGAAAGAGTCCGAGGCAAACCTAAATCTTGTGGACACGACAATGCCCTCAGTCATCGTAGAGGCAGAAGAGAATTCAAATATCTTGAAAAGACATCTGTCGGAGGGAATTCTCGCGAGCAAAGAAGTAGTGACGTGTTGTGTGGAACTTCTGAAGTTTTCTTGCTCCATGGACGAAGACGAAGAGATCAAAACAGCGGCTCTGACCTTTGTGATGGAAAATGACATCCCTCGATTAATATTTCAGGTTTATAAAGCTCTACTAACAAAGTTTCCTGATTTATTGAAGTACGACCGAGAGAAAGATAAAGTAGGTGAATAAAATCTCTTCATGTAATTTATAAAAATATAACATTACATTGCGGCTAAATGGAGACACGAAATTTCTCTTTTCGAGTTGAAAAAGATTTCACTCGTTTGGTGCACTTACATGTGAAATATTTTTCAATGTTCACAGAGAAATTGCCATATATTATCATGCATGGCCATATATTATCCTCTATTTAACTCGATTAAGCTCAGCACCAATTGTGAGCTTGCAAAAGCATAAAACAGTGCCGTCCTCGAGAAAAGTGCCACTTTGATTCACAACAATGTGGCACTTAATTGAAGCATCATCAGACTGAATTGTTCAAGGAAATATCTATGTAAAGAACACGTACTGTTCAACTCAGTCTAAATCAGTCTCTGAAACTGCATTCTCCTGGATTACTATAAAGTAACTAAACTTTTTTGTTAACATTTGGTTGTTATCATTTACAAGCAATATGAAGAGCCCTTGAAGAACCTGCAAGGTTGTTTTTGCATTAAAAATGTATCTCAGTTGCCAAAAATTCTTCATTCTTGTTTATTGTGCATTCTCTCTGAATAGGACTCTGAAGGTAAAATTGCAGTTGAAGAACTTCAACATGCCCAGGATGTTCTGAATGTATTGGCTGGTTTCATGGTGAATCTAACTGATTTTCCTCAGCTAGCTATAAAATGCGGCAGTACAGGACTTATTCCAGTGTTCTTGGAAATGACAGAAGCCCTAAAAGATTCAATACCATACATGATTCCCTTTGAGGTAAGAGCACAGCTGCTATGCTTTGTTAAGGTCAGGATGCTTATTGAATTAGGACATAAGTTCAAGGTGAACAGTCTGAAAAATGTGAACATATGTACAAATGTATAATGCAGTGTGCTAGCAACTGTTCGTGCTGTTTGTAATCAGCTAGAGATTTGATTTCCTTGAATGGTGTGTGCAGAAAAAATATTTAAAAAATTTTCCAAATTTGAAATCGAAGGGACGCAGTCAACTGGAGCACATGCGCATCAGATATCATTTCATAATTTGCATATCGCGGAGACACGATCCATACTGTTTTTAACCAAATATGATAAAAATAATATGGGATGAGCAAAAGCACACTCAAAAATGGCCTTTTCAGTAAACAATTGAAAATCAAGCAAAACACTGTGAAGATTAAAGCGGATTTCTAGATATACTTTGATTTCAGGTTGAGGTGAACTTTTTTCAAAGTGAGAAAACTAATGTCCAGGTCAGCACGGTCCCAAAGCTGACTGTGTACCTTTAACATATAGGCAATGGAATTTATAAGCTAGAATAAAATTTAACGCAGTACAGAATTTTATTTAGTTTTTAGTTTAATGTTAACAGGGAAAGCAGCATGACTCATTTTTGTTCTTACATGCAGTTGTAATGTAACTATTAATTACTTTCAGAAACTGATCTTTAATAACAAAATACCTTTGGCTGTTTGTAGGATCCAGAGACAAAAATAATATCGCAGTTTACAGCTCGTGGCAGAACCTTGTCGAGAGTGCTTGGAGCACTTGTTAATCTGGCTAAACAGGTTACAAACAGGACAGTCTTCATAGATAGTGATGGAGTTCAGCACCTATTGCCACTCCTTAAATCACAAGTTACTGCTTATTATATCAAGAGTTTATTTTGCTTGGCATATCTTATTGAAGAAGGCAATAATGATGCAATAATGACTAATGCTGGTAAGTAAATATAATTGCTGTGACATTTGTTTGAGTGTTTGGTAGTGCTGACAAATTTTATTTTGATGTTAAGAAATTATACAGTATAATAGTTGAAGAGCTATCTAGGAACAATGTTTTTGCAACGACTCTGAGACTGACCCAAGGTGGAAGATAGCTTACTGTATTGCCCTCTCCACTTTCTCAGTCAGCTATACAAACCCATATTCAAAATATTATGTACACAAGCATGCATAATGTGGTTTGTGAAAAGGAAACAGTTACTACAAAATCTTCAGTATTTTGTTTTTATTTCTGTTAGTATAAAAATGATCTTTAGTTAAGTATATGACTTCTACCCACATGTTCATGCTGATTAAACTTGTTTTCATATGAAACATTTTGTACAAGGCCCTTTTTTGAACTGAGGCAAAGGCACACTGCCCATAATTTTCAGAATTTTTGTCAGTTGTCAAAGTGATCAAATACAAAAGTGATTGAATACATCCGCCCTAAGTGGCAGATAAATGTTCTTATGGCCTGTCAGACTGGAGTATGTCATTTTTATTCCAAACTGAAATTTAAAAGAGGATTTTGAGATCATTTAATGAATAGCATTTTATGCAAGGAAGCCTTTGGTATATATTATACTTATTTAATTTTACTATAAAAAATTGCCTTTCTATTTCAGAGCCCATCAAATTCATCATTGGAATGTTGGAAAAGGCCACTAAGTCAAGTACTCGTGACTACCTGGGTTTCTCTGCTAGTGATGTAGCTGATGGTATAAGTAAACTTGCTGTTAATGAAAGTAACAGTAAGCAAGTAAGGTTGCTTTGTTTTGGATGCATGATAATAAAATAAAAATCAAAATTGGCCAAAATAAATGTGAAAATGCTCTTTACCCTCTTATCTGGATCATTTGGTGACCTGTACGGGAGACCAGGAGAATCTGTCTCTATCTGAGAGACTTTGGACTGGAATTATTGTAAAGTGATAGTGAGCTAAAAAGAAATGGTGCTATATAAATAAAGTATCATTATTATTATTNTCAGACTGGAGTATGTCATTTTTATCCCAAACCGAAATTTAAAAGAGAATTTTGAGATCATTTAATGAATAGCATTTAATGCAAGGAAGCCTTTGGTATATATTATACTTATTTAATTTTACTATAAAAAAATTGCCTTTCTATTTCAGAGCCCATCAAATTCATCATTGGAATGTTGGAAAAGGCCACCAAGTCAAGTACTCGTGACTACCTGGGTTTCTCTGCTAGTGATGTAGCTGATGGTATAAGTAAACTTGCTGTTAATGAAAGCAACAGTAAGCAAGTAAGGTTGCTTTGTTTTGGATGCATGATAAAAAAAAAGAATCAAAATTGGCCAAAATAAATGGGAAAATGCACTTTACCCTCTTATCTGGATGATTTGGTGACCTGTACGGGAGACTAGGAGAATCTGTCTCTATCTGAGAGACTTTGGACTGGAATTATTGTAAAGCGATAGTGAGCTAAAAAGAAATGGTGCTATATAAATAAAGTATCATTATTATTATTATTGTTATTATTATTATTATTATTATTAGTAGTAGTAGTAGTATTATTATTATTATAATTATTATTATTATTATAATGTAACTAGTATGCCCAACAAAATTGTCTTTAACTAAGCCTATAAAAACAAGTTATCATGCCAACAAAGATTCATAACAAGTAACAGATATATTCTATTGCCTCCCCCCAAATAAAAAAAAATACTAACTAAGATTAAGATGTGTTCAGGCAAGATGGGTTTGATGATAACACATGAATTTCATCTTTTCCAGATTGGTTTAAATGGAGGAATTCCTGTTATAGTAAGCATGTTAAAGACATCTCAACAAGATTCAGAGAGACTCTGTGGGACTAAAGCCTTGTGGATGTTGTCATTTGATGTCACCAACAGGGCACTCATCAAAGCTATCCCATCAGCCATTGAGACACTGCAAAGTTTGACAAGGTGTCCAAATAAGGGTGTTGTCAAAGCCTCTCAAGGTGTTCTCTGGGAAATTGAGAGGAACAGAGATTCCTCAAGTTCAGGTAAAAGTCTTAAATAGTTTGAAATGTACTGAGCTTTGCATTTAAATCAGAAAACAGCAGGTCTTTTTAGTCTTTTTCTAAACTTTGGAATTAATGTTGCCTTGAGTTTTGAAGGAGTTTGAAGAATTAAAGTGAACAGAAAAACGCTAAATGAACTTGCAGAGTGGTATATAATTTCTGGCTTCATAATTTTATTGCTCCTTAATTTAGATTGCCTTGATAAATATTGATCTAGCTTTTAATCACAGCCAATGGGACCTACAGTATGTGCTTGTGTACTTGCACACAATTAGGTATTGTATTTGTTTGTTCTTTGTTTTGGAGTCATTATCTAAGTGCAACTGCAGGGCTTCCATTAAGTTTTGAGTCACCCATTGCCTTGATCTTCACTCCCAGAAAAGACTTGACACTTGGACAATTGTGGATGAATTGCATCAACAACAGGCAAGTTCACCCATAAAATCAAGGGCTCATCAAGTATACTGAGCCATAACTGGTGTTACTGGTATACGGCCCTTAATGAGTGAGCTCTTCAACTGTAGTGTAATGTTTGTTCTTTTGAATATATTCTTGTGTAACTAGCACACAAGGACAGAACCCCAAATGGCCTTCTTTTCTCCAAACACTTCTGTGAAAAAAAAACATTTGTTGCTAAACTGCAATGTGTGATATATCTTACTGTAGTTCGCGCAAAAGCCCAGCACATCATGATCAGTTACCAGTGGGACTGTCAAGACACCATAATTCAAGTGAATGATAAACTTAGATCAGCAGGATTTAATGTGTGGATTGATGTTGACGAAATGAGAGGATCCACCTTAGAAAGCATGGCATCTGCTGTTGAACATTGCACAGTCTTTCTTATGGCAATTTCACGGAAGTACTTTGAAAGTCCCAACTGTCGTGCTGGTAAGCCCTGAGAGGACGTACAGACTTCTTACTAATCAAGTTCGAGGTCTGTACTGCAAGTCATTATATGGTTGAACTGGTCCGCGACAAAAAGGAGAATTTTTAATTATAAAGTAGAGATCAGTTTACTTCCATGTTTGGAGTACAATTTCAGTTAAATGTTCACAAAAGCGACGTGAGAAACGGAAATAATGGATCGCAGAGACGCATCAATTTATCAGCAGATTAAAAAAGAGCCATCGTAATAAAGACTTAATTGAACTACAGTGTAGCTTGCTCAGTCCGTATTGGAGAATATTGGTCTCTCTTTCTGCAAGTATATGGACCTCGCCTGCGGCTCGCTCCATAAGAAGCAAGGAAAAAAACTCTACCAATATTTCTCCAATAACGAGCTCACGCTATTTCAACAACCCGCATGCACCAGTTTGTCGACTGTCGTTACTCAACGTTCCCAAAATGTTTCCTTCCTTTTTGGTCACGTAGACACGAGGTATATGTGGAAAACAAAAGAACTCGACCCATACTTCTCCAATACGGACCGAACAAGCTAGTTCAATAAAATATATTTATGGACTGAGTGAGTCTTTTACCTTTCGATTTACGTGTGAAGCCAACAGGCCATAAATAAAACGAGTACAGACCGAAAAGGCGAGGCTAGTAAGATATTTATTTCATCTCTATGCGAGTTTATGTTTTTGACAGGTTCGGGAATAGCTTCTAATCCTAGCGGATTGTTCAATGGAATATGGTCTTCTAAACTGACCAATCACAGCACACTTAGTTATTAAGAGGCTATAAGTAATATTTTTAAAGTAAAATTTGACGCATTTGTTGATGTTCATGTACTTACATGACGATACCTCCAATTTCTCACAGAGGCGGAATATGCATATCAGCTACGAAAACAAATCATCCCATTGATGATGGAACCTCGTTTTCAACCCAGTGGTTGGCTGGGCATTATAGTCGGAACCAAGCTCTGGATGGACTTCAGGGAGGTGGGGAATTTAGAGGCGGGGACCAGTCATCTCGTTAGGGAACTGGGAAAAGCAGGAAACTCCCAAGGTACATTTAGCATCAGTCTGTTTTGTTATAAAAACTTTCTAAGTCTGGTGTGTGACCAGTGTGAGTCGCAAACGCTCGAAATGAAATTAGTTTAATATACTGTTCTTTAAAATGACAGCATATCAATTTGGTGATTAAATTATTGGGTTATCAAATCCATTACGCCCTCAAAATCTGAGGATCAGTATTAAAGTAACAAACTGGAAAAAAGAAACTAAACGAATAGAAGCTACAACGTAAGAAAAGTGCTTCTGTCCTACTAAAAAGCAATATTTTGCCTACTCAGTAGGGTCTGAAGAGGTGAATACTGGTTTTAAGATCTCTGGAAAACTAGAAGGCTAAAAACATTGGCTGAACGCTGAAACGCAAACCGTAGTACGTAAACTCTAACTTTCTTGTGGACTAAGCTGCCTGAAAGGGACTTCGCTGCTTTTTGGGTAAATCAGTGCCAAAATCGTGACTGAGTACCATGGCTCTGATGCAAAATGATTCCAGAATTGAAAGATGAGGATATTAAGCGAATTCGACATCACAACTTTTGTATATACAGAACCCCTTACATCTCTCTTTATTAGCTTCAGTGCATTAGATAGTAATTTGTAACCAAACTAGGCCATTACATTGAGGTTTCGATCAATGAAAATATTTCTTTTACTAGGTTTTTAACATTTAGAAGTCAAGCTTATGTTATTTATTTATTTATTTATTTATTTATTTATTTATTTATTTATTTATTTGAGCATTAACAGGAGCCATAATCGGGCTATTATGGCTCCTGGTAATAGTTAAATTAAAATTTAATTCTCAAAAATCAGTGTAAGTCCTTACTCAATGTTCACAGCCGGCGGGAAAGACAAATCTAAAGAAGATGAACTAAAGAAGACATTACAGGCCTACAAGAAGAATCACCGAAGTGNTTATTTATTTATTTATTTATTTATTTATTTGAGTATTAACAGGAGCCATAATCGGGCTATTATGGCTCCTGCTATTAATTAAATTAAATTTTAATTCTCAAAAATCAGTGTAAGTCCTTACTCAATGTTCACAGCCGGCGGGAAAGACAAATCTAAAGAAGATGAACTAAAAAAGACATTGCAGGCCTACAAGAAGAATCACCGAAGTGTTTATGTGTACCTCTCTGAAGCCGAGAAACTCATCAGAAACCTGCGGTCCTTTCTTATGTCTGGTCAGCTGGCTACTGAAGCCTCGTTTTGGAAAGCAGATGCTCTTGTTGTACTTTACACCAAGATACCCGAAAAACAAAGCAGAACTTTGGTCTTGAATTTCATGGTTGATGTAGATCTTCCCGAAACCTTGATTGAGATTGTAAGAACTCTTCGGCAAAGGTATCCCCAGGCGTTCTCAGAGCCAGAGGAACGTGATGTACCCAAAGACGACGAGCCAGGAGAAATAATCTTGAAGAAGAAAGCCAGTAGAAAGATGGGAACTGGGGATGAAAAACATAGCGAGGTATGGTGTATGACGTATGAAAAGAGATTGCAAACGAGTTAAATGGCGTTCATGTGTAGTGTTAGTAATGAATTTAGCTGAACGACAGGGGCGGATCCAGGATTTTTCTTAGGAGGGGTGCACCACTAAGGAATGGCGTAACTGACTGGTGAGGTAAACAAATTTTAAAAGCGAATATGTCATATCAGAGGGGGTGGGGGTGCGCACCCCCTGCACCTTCCCCCTAGATCGCCCCTGGACGATATGATCTATAGGATATAGGAAGTATCAATTTTGATTGAAATTAAATATACAGTATATCAGTCAAACTATGAGATTACGAGAATTTTTGAGAAGGAAAGGAAAGCTACTGAATTGCATGTTGTTTTTTTTTACCACACTTATCAAGTCCAAGTGTACGGAACTCTGTGAACTCTACCTAGCACCAGCGCTATTCCCCACTTCTCTATTGTAGCTAATTTGCGATGTCAACAATCTTCCCTATGATCACAATCTTTCCCCCGTGCTTCTTGTGACAAAAGGACTCTTGTTTTAGGTTAAATCTCCCAATCCGATCTGGTACAATAGACAATGCCTTGATAGGAATATGGAAATCATTCTGTCATGTTAGTCGGTTTTAGACGCTTCTGAAATAAAGGTGGGTTGGAGAAGTGGCGAGAACTGATGGACGAGAATTGGGTGAAAGCCACTTTTCTGTAACCACATCAACTTTGATAAGCATGTGGTCAAACGAGTTGAGAGTCAAAAGAGTTGACATACATTTACGTGTCTGTATGTATATATTTTTACTATTTTCTTTGTCTTCCTAGTTGTTAGTTATGTATTCAGTATTTTGTTATTTAAGTAATCTGATACTAACTGATCCGCCTAGATTAGCCCAATGCTATCAGCGGATCAGTTTTACATTTGTATTAATTTTTAAATTCAATTGAAATAAAGTGTGTGAAGTGTGAAATAACTATCTAACTATCTACAGCTACATTTGTAATCTGCAAAGGGATTAACCCATCACCGCAAATGAAAAAGAAGAAAAAAGTAAATGTAACTAAATCGCTATTGGGCCAAAAAAGAGACGAGATTGGCCCTACGCACCTCCACACCTCAACACTCGGTTGGAGTATTACTTCAGCAGGAAGTGAGTTTCACTCAGGTTTTGTTAAAAGCTGAAGTGGTGAGCATTGCTCGCAGGGGTTAAACCCTTATCGACTGCGGTGAAAATTTGAGCAGGTTGCGAGAGTTTGAATCCTCGTCAACTCTGGTCGTCCCGCTTTCTCGTTTGGCTCGGCCTTGACCTCGGTGTACCTTAAGTTTGTAATAACGTGTTTCTTACAAACACACACTAATTGATTGACAAAACTTAAGTGTTCGAGGCTCTGGTAAGATTTTGCATATGACATAGCCTGCATAGCAAGCGTTACCGTACGAAGAGCTTTTTCGCATTCAATTCTGGCCGCGCGTAAATTGGAGCGAGAGTAAAAATTCGCTTCGTCGAGTTTTTACTCTCTCTCCAATTTACGCGTGGCCAGAATGCAGAAAAGCCGTCTTGGTACGGGAACGCTTGGTACGCAGGCTACATATGATTGTGTGGGAAGGTTTTGTTTTTTCAGTGAATGCCAGCAGGTTCATTGCTTTATTTTTCATTCCTGCATTTTTTCAGCAGGTAAATTCAGAGGCAAACTGGGCTCTGGAGGTGATGTTAACAACATCGATAGCAATTTTAAATTTTACTGATCTTCACGATGCCTTTTGTGAGGTCTGCGGGAATGCAGGACTGGTCAAGGAGTATTTAGAGCTATCAAAGCAACTGAAGAAGGGTTTACCTGAATTTGATGAACAAAAGGTATGAATGACTCACGGAAGGGGACTCCCATCTAAAAAAGACGGGGGTGCTCGTCGGAAATTTTGAAAAGAACCCCTAAGAGGTACCAAGATCCTGTTTTGTGSGCGTGGCTTGAATTTTTTCTCCCCTAAAAGTTACTAACTCTTTTATAGCACATCTCCTGTCATCTTTTTTTTTTGGCTCAATACCCTAAAAGGTACTGCAAAAGCTTCCGCTGTGGACCTTTTGAGGCTAAGAACTCTAAGAGGTACGAAAACCGCGTTTTTAACTCTAAGAGGTACGAAAACCGCGTTTTTAACCCATAAGAGGTACGATGAGCGCCACTGTTATTTTTATATGGGAGTCGTCCCCGAGGAATGACTACGCATCGTACGTACTTTTGTTTTCGGAAGAATAGGTTCGTGATATTGTGACCAATAAATTGGAAGTTACAGAATGCACCCTTCAATTAATTTATCGGACTATTGATCAAACTTGGTCAGGTGCCACACCTCTACGGGTAATTATGATTGGTTAAGGAAAAAATATCGGACGTTTCAATCATCGGCTTCAAAATTGTCCTTGAAATGTCCTCTTTGTTTTTGAACAAGTGTTTGGTGGCGCAGCTGATGTCAACGAAACGTTGTGGTAGTTTTTCATGTACTCCCACGAGTTCTTATTTCTGCCCTCTCACTTCTCTTATCCCGGCCTTAAAAAGGATTTTTTGTTGCAGGGCTGTTACTGAAACTCAATTCGTGTGTTTTGCAGGATTCTCTATCGAGTACTGAAGACAAAGACAACAAATTTTCAAGACGAGGCAGCTTGCTGTTCGAGGTTTTAGGAGTGCTTCACAACCTCTCCAAACGAATCAACAACAAGAAGCACTTTGATGACAGTAGCGCTGTAGAAACGCTGCTGGGCTTCTTTAGAACAAAGTTCCCTGTGTATAGAATGACTGCACTCCTTGCCCTTGCTTACTTAGTGGACGAGAAAAACAATCATCTCATAATGGCGAGTGAAGGTAAGCGATCATGAAAGATCGTTAATAAAGAGCACAACCTTGTTAAAGGTTTTTTTGGTGTGGGTGCCCTTCTTCTTTTCGTCTACGGGAGGAAAAACTTCAGCAGTAGTTTATCTTCCCACCCTGTCTCATCTTGTCTTGTCTTGGTCGCATCGAAACGCTTTGTAATATGTTATACCTCAACTTGGATGATACGTTCATCTGATAATATGAAAACCTCTTGTAAGGTTTTTTAAGGTTATGTAGACTGACAGATCAGAATTGACCTTTTGCAGAACCAATCAAAGACATCCTAAAGCTGCTGGACAAAGCAAATCATTCCGCTGACCGGCGCAGTCTTGGATTCTCGGCGGCGGAAATAGCTTGTGGACTGATGCATGTGGCCACAAACGATGGAAATAAGAGAATGGTATGATATGCATGTGTCAAGGATACACTCGGCGCTCTTGCAACCCATGTGCACCTATTTTGGTGCTCAAATGCTCTCCTCGGGGTAGGGTTAGCTCCGAAGGTAAAGGTAACGTGCCAGGCACGGGATCGTCACAGATTGTTTTCAGATTGCTGTAGCTGCTGATAAAATCGACCGAAGTGTTGCTAATTGGCCATCTTGCGAGTGTTAGAGCGATTCAATTCTAAATTGGATAATTCTTAAGCTTCAGAATTAGTGTCAGAGAGCTATCACACGTCAACGCTTTCTTCAACTTATTTCCCATTCTGCGCTGTTCTGTGTTTTATTGACACTATAATAAAGTAATACTTCATTCTGAAGCTTTGCTGATGTAGAGTTCTGTACGTTTTACTTGAATGTATCCTACCAAGCTGCACGATTCTAATCAATGTAACATTTTGTTTCCAGATCGGCCAACACGGCGGTATTGACATGTTAGTTTCCATGATGAAAGGTCCAGATGAACACGAGGAGGAGAGAATAGCGGCCTTGAAAGCATTATACATGTTATCTTTTGACGAGGCGAACAAGGAAATGATTAAATCTGATCACGATACCATGGCACTGCTGCAAAGTTTGCAGACGTCAGATAACAAGGAAATACAGCAAGCGGCGTCTGGAGTGATGTGGGAAATAGAAGGGAAGAAAGAACACTCTGGCACCTCAGGTACATAGACATTTCTTACAGCACGTTGACATAGCGAGTCGACAAAGCATTGGAGAAAGTTAAGAACTGGAAAAAAAACCGTTCTGAACTCATTTAATATTTGACCTCCGTTTGTGGAACGTCAGGAAGTGGCTGGGGTGGATATGTGGGGACGGAGGGTTAGATGAGGTAAACGTTCAGTCTGCTCATTGGCCAGGAGGCCTAGAGAGTCTCGAGCTAATCCCGGATCACAGCGTGAAACACATGGCAGTATTATTTAATAAATAGAAAACATATACCGTGTTTCTACCGAGTTATAGAAACACGAGTGGAAGTTTGGGAGAACGAGAAATGCTGTGTGAGTGAGTGAGTGAGATCTTTGTTAAAGTATCAAAAACCTTATAACCTGGAAATAATACACCATACTAATTAGGGGACACTGCTAAAAAACTATATTAATACCATTATTAATACAATAAAAAAAATAAATGACTTGAAGGGCATTATGTGCAGCATAGGATGCAGCCCTTACAGCCGGTGTCCATTAAGCGAGTTATATCCCTTTTGCGAATATAGTTGTGGGAACAAGAGCCGCAGGCGAGTGTTTCCACAGCTTTTTCTAGTTCTCCCAAACTTTCATGAGTGTTTCTATAACTCGATAGAAACACGGAGAACATGTTTTCTATTTCTTTTAGAAAACACCACAACGAAAAAAAGAAAAGAGCTTGTTTACTTTGATCATCAAAATGTAAATTCTCTTTGCTCGCGCCATCATTATGTCAACAGCTCGTGCTAGTTATGTGTTTCTATAGAGTTATAGAAACACGATTTTTAACCAGTCAGTGCGCTTATTTTCTTAGGACTGTTTTCCAAAATGAAATACATGGTAGTATTGTAAAATTTGTGTTAATGGAATGAGCTTATTAAAAAAAATGATCCTATAAACCCCCACATCGGGAAGAAATGGAGCAATTGGATATGTTACCGTTGAGTTAAGAGTTGAAAAATGTTTTTCCTAGATTCTGAAGAACACGTGATGATAAGCTACCAGTGGGACACTCAGCAAACAATGCTCCAAGTGAAACAGGAACTGGAGGCTCAAGGTTTCACCGTGTGGATGGACGTGGAGCAGATGGAGGGGTCTATTCTGGAAACAATGGCGCGAGCTGTGGAGAAATCTTCTGTGTTACTTTTGGCAGTGTCACGCAAATACCAGAACAGTCCCAACTGTAGATCGGGTATGGACTTTAACGATGACTTGATACAATTATAATAGTACAATAGACCAATTTCGATATATTAAAATTCGGCCTAAAACAATAAAGTTTGAGGGTTTTATTCCCCAGAGCCTCGTACTGAGGTCTGTGTTAGGCTGAGTTTTACTATATCATATCGAAATTAGTCTATTAGTTTATAATACGATTAGCACGAGTTTTAGTGATCTGCAATGAAAATGAATGACTGATACTTCTTTTGCTTTATCGTACAAAAATGTTTGAAATGCCAATGGCTAAGCTGCAAAGAAATGCCAAACGTAAATGGACTAATTCACCAGATAAATCCGATTTCTGAACACTGAATATTTCCAAGTTGTACCAATCATTGAGAAGTACAGTGGAACCCCGCTTTACGGACACCCGCTTAATACGGACACCCCGATATTACGGACAGTTTCGTTTTCCCCGACGAAAAGCTCATATATTTTTTCTAAAATTAACCCGCTTA